ATCAGATATTATACCTTCATTCATTCAAAAGATATTTACTGAATATTAAACTGAGTAAGGCATGACTCTAAGCACTGGAGACAAAATAATGATGGATTTAAAAAAAACGGGTGTGTGTGTGCATATGTGTGTACATAGACAGTCGGTTCACCATATCCATGGATTCTGATTCTGCATCCACACACTCAACCAACCACGGATTGAAAATATTCAAAATAAAGTAAAATTACATAAAAACTAACATGCAACAATAAGGCTGGGTCATTGGTAACACCATGATGCATTTTTGCATAGAAAACAAGTCATGACTTGCCCGACGACTTAATAATACAGGAGGCAGACAGCGGAGGGGCAGCAGTGCCCTACTGTGGGAGGCTGGCCCTAAGTGAGAAGGTCCCACATGCATAGCACGAAGCCTCCTGTGAACAACAGGTGTGCCCATCACCCAGGCTAGCTGAGGTTTGGGTGGACTGCAGCATAAGGGTCCTTTTGGGGTGCCTGTCTCTGCATCTCTCTCTCTCTCTCTCTCTCTCTCGCTCGCTCGCTCAGGAAAATAGAACTTGAAGTGATAATGACTGGTAAAGTTGGGGTGTGCAATACAGGAGCAGCAGCGAACCCGATTCTGTGTCTCGTGCTCATGAAGAACTAGAACGCGGATAAACAAGGGAGACGGCAAAGCCCAGTCAGCTGGAGGAGAGAAGAGCCCCCAGGCAGCAGGAGGGCGTTCCAGGGGTGAGCTGCCAACGTGGGGCTGGGACCAGGGTTTTCATCCTAGCCAGGGGGGTGTGCTCACACTCTCTCCTGCAGAGTCACTCGTTAGGTATGTCACGCTGAACATTTAGGGAGCTGTACATTTAGAGAACTTCTGGTAAATGATTATTCAAGTCTTTGTCTGAGAGCTGTAGCCCAGAGACCATTATTTAGTGGCCAGTGTTTGTTCGAGCCTTTGTCTGAGAGCTGTGGGCCTAAAACCCATTACTTAGGTTCCAGAATGTAGTGGGGACACAGAAATGCCAGCCCAGGTTAATCACTGAGTCACTGCTACAAGCCATTCCTGTGAGCAGGCAGTTCTCGGTGCAAGGCTGACCACCGTAACTCCATCTCGGGCCTGGGTCTGACCACCTATTCCTTAGAGTCCCACTTCCTATCTCAGTAATAGCCCAGCCTCATGGCCCAGTCGTCAAGGGAGGTGAATCTCCCGTGGCCAACCACGGGTTGAATCCCAACCCCAGAAGTTTGAAAAACACACTGGAGGGGGAGGACAGCAGGTGGCATGGTGGTTAAGGGTGCTGGACTCCCACATGGCCGACTGCAGTTTAAGTCCCGGATCTTTCTCACTTTCTCTCTCTCGCTCTGTCCCTCGCTAATTAAATCAAAATAAATAAACTAATTAATACACTTTTAAAAAATCTTTAAAACACAGAGAGAGAGAGAGAGAGCACACATGTGCAAGTGCCTAAAATCCCGACAGGATGAAGAGATAAAGGAGAAGGGATTATGACATTACCCTATTGGAACATGCTTCCCAACTTTCCTCCCACCCCCTCTGTCTCTGTCTCTCTGGCAAGGGCACGCACCCTCTGGCGATTAAAAAAACAACATTAATAATCATCAAATGCCAGCTCTGTGGCATAGGGACATTACACTGCTCAGGGAAGCCGATCCCACATGGTGACCACCATTCAAATCCCCAGCCTCGTCAGACTGAAACCCAAGTGTCCAAGACCCCCAATGGACGGGGGGACCGGAGGAAGGGGCTAGCAGTACGCCAGGTCCTGTGAAGAGTGCTCCTCGCTCCCTCGGTTCCTCTCCTTCCCTTCCTGCTCTCCCTCTCATGTGCATTCACCCCTGCTGTATGACGGGGCAGGCGACCATACAAAGAAGACACAATATAACAACTGTGTCATAGTATTTCCTTCGCACTGGGCATTGTAAGTGACCTGGAGAAGATTTCAAGTGCACTGATGTACGTGGGGAAGTGACTTGAACACCCACACATTTCGCTATCGGCGATGGGTCCTGGGAGCAGTCTCCCACAGATACCAAGTGACAAGTGTGAGAGTGTGTGTGTGCACATTTGACACATCACACACTTTTTGTACATATTCAACTAAACAACCTTGGATTACATGTTACTGTTAGAGATACATTCTAATCTCTTCCTCAGCAATTTTCTATTTCTTGCTTCCCAAAAGAAATCTTTAACAAAAATCAAATATAACAGATAAAAGTATAACCTTCACCTCTAGGAATACTGGAGCTTGTCATGGAATGATTTGAAACTGACTACTCAAGTGACAACGGCCCACCCTTTAATAAATAGTCTGACACGAGGCACGAAAATCAGATAGGTCACTCTAGGCTTCTTCGGAGGTTTATGAACACTCAGCCCTGTGCTCTTTGCCCCCAAACAGCTGTCTGGTGTGAGCCCTGAGACAAACCCCAGGTCCCAGACTGGGCCTGGAGAAGCAGGAAGCACAGACTCTGGCACTGTGTGGACTTGAGGGAAATCTCATCATCTGAGTGATAAGATCTCAGAGGTTGAAGATTAAGGTTATAGCCTGGGGGAAAGAAGTTTAAGAGGCTATTCAACCTGAATAAAGCCTCGAGCTAAACAAACCCGCATTTTCTAGAGGACAAAAAGTTGTCACCAAAGTCACTAGGGTGAAAAACCAAAAAGGACTTTTGACTGTAGAATCCCTTCCATTTGGGATCCATTACTAACCAGAATAGACAAAGAACCTCCAGTGCTGTCTGTTCTGGGGAGGTGGGGGGAGAGAGGAGGACAGACAAACACGAGGACAAGTCAATTACATAAATAACATCTTGGACGGTGACAAGTGGTAAGGGGCGGGAGTAGAAAGTGTGCAGGTGAGTAAAAAGAATCAGGAGTGCTGGAAAAAGTGGTAAGGGGGTTGTGGTTTGCGATTTAAATAGAGTGGTCAGAGGGGGCCTCACGAGGAGGACAGCCCTTGATAAGGAGTTGGGCGAAGGAAGTAGGGGAGTTGGCCACGAGGGAGCCGCGTTCTGCATCTGTGAATCACCAGGGTGCCCAGCCTGGATGGAGCGCAGGGAGGGAAGGAGAAGGCTGGAACAGAAGACATAAGCGAGATGAAGGAGGGAGGAGTCGAAGAGGGCAGATCATGTAGAGGCTCATGGGTCTCTGCAAAGGCTCTGGCTTTGTTCTGAGCCACCACGGGCTACTGGGCAGCGCTGACTCCTGTTGTAGACAGATTACTCTGCAGAGCACGGGAGCACACAGGGAGACCAATTAGGTGGCTAGTGCAACCATCCAGGCGAGACATGGCATGGTGGCTGTGCCAGGACGGCACAGCAATTAAGTGGTCACATCTTCCTTCCCTCGAACGCAGTGAGGTGGAGTCCACTCCACATAGCAGATACCCAAGTCCTAAAAAATCTAGTAGCATGAGACTCTCTAAAAAATCACCAATTCCTGGGACCACCAGGTGGCACAGCGGTTACGGCGCCGGACTCGCATATGGCCGAATGCGGCTGAAAATCGCGCCAGACATGGGTGTGTGCAAGCCCAAAATCAGAGGAGGAGCATGGAGGAGAAGGGACTGCAGCGTGGCCATCCTCTCTGGGAGGGAGTTCTCACTTTCCCTCTCTCTCTGTCTCTCTGTTTCTCTCCAGTAGGGAGGGCACAAGCCCTATGGAGAAAACCTTAAAAAAATAAAATCACAGATTCCTTTAGGAATATGTACTGCTGAGATACTCATATGAATACATTGCGATGTGGAGTTCTCCATCATTCTATCGTCTTTCTCCACAAACCCTACACTCCTCTCTTTCTTTTCCTATCCAAGCTCATAATTCTCTAAAATGGGACAGGCAGAATTAGAAAGCTTTTCTGAAGTCTATGTATCTTTAAGTCAATGATTTTTGTGTGTGTCTTTCCTTTTCTTTTTCTTATATACTTCAACAGATGCCACTTTTTAAAAAGTAAAAACAAACATGTAAGCAAGCTATAAACCTCCTTTTACATTAAGAAAAACCCTGGCACAGGTGGGAGAGCCTCCTGTGAGTTCCTATTTCCACATGTCACCATCTACCAAGTCAGGTAATCTCGCCGCCATGCCCTGCAGAAAGGCGTGTCAGGCCACGGTGAGCGTGGACACGGTAGTGGTCCTGTGAGGGGCATGCAGGCCATACACGTAGGTAGGTGTGTGGACTTCAGCAGCAGGTGGGGTAAGCGCGCCCTAGGATGTTTGCATAATGACTAAATCACCTAACGACCGCTTTTCAAAACACATCCGTGTGCCTATCCCGACTTCTTTCCTTTCCTCCCAACTTCTCTTCATTTCAATTCACTATTCAGGTATACGGAGAAAAACATGGCTCCAACAACTGCTTGACTTTCACACAAGAATAAACACCTTACAAAAAAGATATTCTGGGTTGACTCTGTTGCTTTTAAAAAGATGTAAGCTTAATGATCTTTTTTGTTAATGGGAGCAGTTTCCTAGGACTAGAAACCAAATTGAGGTGTTAGGTACAGACTTTTCTGGAGAATGTCTGAGAAGCAAAAGAAAAAAAACATTCGGTACAAAACAATTATGCAACTCTTAGAAGATTTAATAAAGGACTGCTTAAGGAAAAGCCTAAAAGTGATGTAGCTTCCCAAAGACTTACAGAGCTGTTCTCTACAACCCAAAAGATAACTTGGAGTTTCCCTATGTTTTACTGAGCCAGTCTTTCAGGCCACCTGACAGCAGATGCAATGCTTTACAAGTTTAAGCTCTCGGACGTACATTATCATATTTATCCTAAGTACAATGTATTCAATTATCAGAAAATAGCCTGACCGTAAATGAATCTAAGAAAGAAGAAAAAAGTCATCCCTCAAAACTGAAAATGGAGGGGGTGACCTTAAATATAAACATCCTATTTCTTCTTCTTTTTTTTAATCATGTGTTAACCCTGGCTAAACAGGGCGGGCGCACAGAAGGTGAGGGACCCGCATGGCCCAGCAGCCTTACCTTCAGATGTTTTCCATCGTTTCCACAGGTCCTCAACAGTTATGTGCTTGTCTTCTCTGTGCAGGTGGCTGTGTTTATTAGTAGCATCTTTGTATTTCATATCTTCTCTGATAAACTGCAGGAGAGAAAACACTAAGGTAAATACACCTACGTCAGCTATTTCAGTCTCCACAAACTGAGGAGAAATAAAACCTTGTATCTAGTGGGGGACTATTTTCAGATAGTAACTGGTATACTGTTAGCATTTTTTGGGTCGTATTATTCTTGAGTGTTTGTAAAATGTAGTTAATAAAATGTCTTCTATTAAAAATAAGGACAATATACTATTTTTTTACGATACAAGATGGCAGGTGAAAAAGCGAAGCAGGACACTAAGGAGAAGAAACCCGAAGCCAAGAAGGGTGATGCCAGTGGCCAGGTTAGAAAGGGTGACCCCAAGGCTAAAAAGCCCAAGAAGGGGAAGCCCCATTGCAGCCGAAACCCGCCCTAGTCTGAGGCATCGGCAGATACTCCCGGTCTGCCATGTATTCCAGGAAGACCATGTATAAGAGGAAATACTCAGCCACTAAATCCAGAATCGAAAAGAAAAAGAAGGTTCTTGTGACTGTCAGAAAACCAGTTGGTGCAGACAAGAATGGTGGTACCTGGGTGATTAAACTGCACAAAATGCCTAGGTATTATCCCACTGAAGATGTGCCTGGAAAGCTGTTGAGCCATGGCAAAACCCCTTCAGTCAGCATGTGAGAAAGCTGTGAGCTAACATCACTCCTGGGACCATTGTGATCATCCTCACTGGATGCCACAGAGGCAAGAGAGTGGTTTTCTTGAAGCAGCTGAACAGTGGCTTGCTACTTGTAACTGGACTGCTGGTTCTCAATCGAGTTCCACTACATAGACCACACTAGAAATTTATCATTGCCACCTCCACGAAAATTGATATTAGCAAAGTAAAAATCCAAAAGCACCTTATCGATGCTTACTTTTTAAAAAAATAAACTGTGGAAGCCCAGACACCAGGAAGGTGAGATCTCTGACACAGAGAAGGAGAAATACAAGATTTTGGAGCAGCATAAGATTGATCAGAAAGCTGTGGACTTGCAAATTTTACCAAAAATCAAAGCTGTTCCTCACCTCCAGGGCTACCTGGGATCCATGTTTGCCCTTACAAATGGAGTTTATCCTCACAAATTGGTGTTCTAAATTTTTCCCAAGAACTTAATTAAATAACTGATCATATATTTTAAAAAAAAGAAGAAGAAAAATGGTCATTGGATTTTGACCACCAAAGACCCTCTGTCCAGAATTCATCCTCCTGTACCCCAGATCTAGCCAGGAGCCAGGATAGAGCACCTGACTGTATATTTTAAGGTTTTTGCCATAGGGTGCATATACTCATCAGAGATAGTGAAAGGGAACGTGAACAATCACCCTCGGGCGGGATGGCCATGCCACAATCCCTTCTACATTGTTCTCCTGGGAGCTGGGGCATGTCTGTATGTATGCCTGGCGTGATTTTCAAGCCACAAGTTTCGGGACTTGAACCCTGGTTAGCCATGTGGGACTCCAACGCCTTAAAAACCACACTACCTGCTGGCCCCACACATATATTTAGAGAGAAATAGCCATTTAACTTTAGGGTAATCCTATAAAAGTATTATCTATCCCAGATAAGAAACCAAGGTCCGGGGACCAGCAGGTGGCGTGGTGGTTAAGACAGTGGACACTCCCACATGGCCGACCACGGTTCAAGTCCTGGACCTGGTGGCTTGCTTTCTCACATTCTCTTTCTCTCTCTGTGTCCCTCTCTGGTCAAAAGAAATGAATGAATAACTAAAAATAAACAATTATTTTTTAAAAAAAGAAAGAAAGAAAGAAACCAAGGTCCAAAGTGTTTAAGTAATTTGCCCAAAGTTGAAAAAATAATCAACAACAGAGCTGGGGCCCAACCCAATAATATACTGTCTCAATACTAAACATTTTTACCCAAGATCGTGTGAAAGAAGAGCTTTGAAATACATCGGGGCAGTCAGAGGCAGCAGTTTAAGCAACACGCCAAGGGATAAAAGAACTCTCTCTCCCTAAGAGAACTGAGTGAAAACTGAATAAATAAGTACATTATATTTTCTCTGGAATTACCATCCACAAATACTTCCGTTTTTAAAAATGACCCCAGGATATCAAAACTTGTAATAAACCATGCAAAACTAAATTACATTCTTTATCTTACAGATCTTGAACATTGTGACCACAGAATGTGGCTAGAATGCTATAATTAGAATTACTTTATGGGGACCAGCAGTGGGCATGATGGTTAAGGCGCCAGACTACCACATGGCCAGACACAGTTCGATTCCCGGACCTGAAGCTTGCTTTCTTACTTTCTCACTCTCTCTCTCCTTTTATCTGAGCACTAGTGCCCTGTAGCAAATTAAAAAATAATAATGATAAATAAAATTAAATAATTCAAAGAATTATATGTTGAAACTAAGTCAGAAAATGTTTAAATGAACAAAACACGCTAAAAATCATCTGTTTCCTTTATCTATTTCCCTTACAGAAGAGCATAAAATTCTAACTATTAAGACTTTGCTAAGACTATATAGAAAACTGCTAATTTTAGAAACAAGGCAGGCTGGGACCATCAGCTAGCGTAATGGCTATGTCACTGGACTCCCATGTAGTCGACCATGGTTCAAGTCCCGGACCTGGTGGCTTAAACTCACGTTGGGTGCATGTGCGTGCATGCCCAACATCCTGAGAGGAGAATGGAGGAGAAGGGATTGCGGCATGGCCATCCCCCCTGGGGGGTGATTTCTCGCTTTCTGTCTCTCTGTCACTCTCTTTCTGGCAAGTACACGTGCCCAAAAACCTCTAAAAAAAGAAAAAAGAAACAAGGCAGGCTACGTAGAGAAACTGAAAAATGCCATCAATAACTGAAATGCATGAATGAAAGATAAATACTTCTTTAACAAAAGCCAAGAATTAAGAAATCTGAAATTCAATCAAGTAAATCTTGCAATAATGGATGGCAAATAATGAAGAGCTCCTCGGTAAACATCGGCAATTACAGGCAAACCCAATACAGAAAATCCGAAATGCACAGTACAAACATAGGAGCGCTCGGTGAGTAACTGACTGTTGAACACTCTTTTCAAAAAGGCTCACTCAGGTATTTATTTAAACACACTCTTCTAGTACCATTGAAAGTATGTGTTTTACATATCCAGGTTAAAGAAGCTCGTTTTTATGTAGTATGCTGATTTAGGTTTCTCAAATCCTCAAACACACTTTGCATTCTTTGTGCTGAGTAACTTTTTTTTTTTTTAAGAGGTTTTTGCTATAGGGCACGTGCACTCGCCAGAAAGACAGAGAGAGAGACAGAGAGAAGAAAGCGAGAAATCACCCCCCAGGGGGGATGGCCAAACCGCAATTCCTTCTCCTCCATTCTCCTCTCGGGATCTTGGGCATGCACGTACACATGCCCGGCGTGAGTTTTAAGCCACTGGGTCCGGGACGCGAACCGCGGTCGACTACATGGGAGTCCAGCGACATAGCCACTACGCTAACTGCTGGTCCCCTGAGTAACTTTTATACTGCTTTAATACAGTCTGACCCAGGTTACTGTAGACCCGCACCTCTGCCCCGAGCATTACTTACTGACAGTACTGCACACCCCGCGTGTACCCAGTCACTCCACCCTCGACCTATCATCCACTGCCACAGCTATCTAAAAGCTATTAAAAGACAAACACTTCACCTAGAGGAGGGCAACCCCAAACCTGTACCAGCACGGCAGGGTTCTCCCTCACTAGGAACTACACTGAGATCATGAGAAGTCGGTCTGGCCATGACTCCAGACTCTAAGGTCATCCACACCACGGTGCCGCAGGTGTCATTCCACGGGTAGTCAAGATATACTCTGCACTACGGAGAATAATGAAGCCGGTAAACACGCAGAGGGAAAAACAAAAAAG